GGGGGGGGGGGGGGGTTTGTTTACATCTCTAAGGAGCAAAGAAAGTAGTATTCTCCATAATAGTGTCAAAATTTGAGTGTTTTTCTGTGAAACTTTAGCATTGGTTTTTTTTTTTTTTTTCCTTTTTCCAAATGCTCCAAAGAAAAGTTCTATTGAAGTACCTCAACGGCGTCTCCTCCTTTTCTTGCATCTTCAGTTTCTTCGAAATCATCTTCCAATCGGAGTTGCTGACAAGTGCCCGAGGAAAGAGAGATTGCAGTAAATATTTAAGAAAAGGATGAGGGGTAGGTCAAGAAGGTAGAGTAGGTTACCTGAAGATGGCTCTCGGGAACGGGCAGATTGGGTTCTTGGTGAGGAAACAACAGCTCGAGAAGAACTGCTTGTAGGCGGGCCTGGCTGAGGGGCGAAGAGGAGCAATTCAGCTCAGATAGTCATCCATGGATCAAACTTTCCCAAACCTCCACCAAGACCTAAATGCGGGAGTGGAAGAAGGACCGGTATGAAGGAGCTCTGATGTTATTTGGTCTGTTTCCGAATGGTCTTTTTTCCCGTGAGAATGTAGGAAAGGAAAGTGTGATTTTCGTTGGGAAGGCAGTAAACCAACCAAAGGATACAATCTCAGCATGCTCCAAAATTTGGCAGCCAAGGGGCAATTTTTGATTAAGTGTACATCTTTGTTCAGCATCCCTCTAACAAAGAGAACAATTTGGAGAGAGATAGAGCCAAGGGAGTCTCCTTTGAAGGCGATTGTGAGTGTTGATGCATGAATGGCTGAGCTCCCACATTGAGTTATAAGTCTTTTTTTTCCTTCCTTCACTTTCTATCGTTTCCCGTTCTTCGTCTTCTGTTTGTGGAGTTAGGGATTTGCACTATTATTTATTAATGTGGATCATAATTGTGCAAGAAAGAAAACAAATAAAAAAGCCACTTGTTTATGCAATGCACATACGCTCAGAATTTTTGGACAATGATTCTTAATATATTCGGATGACATCTCACATTTCCTAGGGAGGTAAATGATCTTTTGGATATGGCCTTAACGTACACCCTTTCAAGAATGAAAAAGCTCTATTATGGAAAAATCTCATCCATGGCTTTCGTTTGGAAACTATGGAAAGAAAGAAACTAGAGAATATTTGCAGAAAAGACACAAACCTACATAAAACTTTTCGACAATGTTGTTTACCAAGTTATATCTTGGTGTAAACTGTCTAATATTTTTACTTCCTATAGTTATATCTCCCTCGTTTCAAATTGGGAAGGTCTTTTGTAAACACCATGAATTATACATACTTTTTGTAAATTTCAATAATCACTGAAATTGTATCTTATAAAATACATAAAAAAAAAAAAAATTTGTGATTTGTAGTTAGTTCTTGAACTCCCTTTTTGCTGGAGTTGTTTTTTGTTTCCATTTCCTGTTTGCTTTCTGCAGTTCTTTTGTAGCATGAAAGGCTTTTTTTAATTTCCCTTTTTGGGTTGTGGTTTTTATTTTTCTACTTATACTGATTTATTATTCTGAGAAGAGCTTCAAGGATCTCTTTATGAGACAATGGCTGCCAATAGACGTCCGCAATTTATTATTATTATTATTGTTTTGAGGGGGATGGGGTGAAATTAGAAACCGAACTCTTTACTCTTTTTATTGTTACTATTATTATTACAATATTACTGATACAGAGGGTTCTTCGGTGTATAATTTGTTGAGGATCGTTGGGAGAGAGTCCCACGTTGGCTAATTTAGTGGAAGATCATGAGTTTATAAGTGAGACTTTTTGGGGAAGCTCAAAACAAAGCCACGAGAGCGTAAGCTCAAAGTGGACAATATCATACCATTGTGGATATCTGTGATTCCTAACATAATTAACATATCATGTAACTATCTGTAAGACACAATTTCTCGATGGATTCTATACAGGCTAGGTCGATCCGTTACGAATTTAAATAGTTCCATATGGTCTTTTCTTATTCCTTTTGTTACTCGGTTATTTTGTATGTGAAGATCACAGGATAACTCGAAGTGTCAGGGTTCATAGTATCTGTTCTTCCATAATCTTATAACAATTTAATGATTCATTGATGCATTATGCAAAAAAATTGTACAGGCTTCTGCCATACCATGTGGTAGCTGACTATGAGGCAGAAGAAGATGATAGAATCCTCGACTCGGATCCAACGGGCCAAATGTTGTCACGGTCACAGCAATGGGACCATAACATCTCGGCCAAAATTTCCGAGTTTATTGGCACTTTTGAGAAGCAGGTATTGGCCTTCAACATCATAACTCGAAAAAGAGCATTGGGGGAGTTCCGTTCAGAAGAAAGATTGATGTTTGAACAAGCCCTTATGCAAGAAGAGAAACGGAAACTTCTTGAACTAAAAGCTGAGATTGAGTTGAGAGGGAAGGCGAGCAAAGAGGCTCAGGACGCCAAAACTCGGATGGCAGCTATGATGCAGACTGACCAAACACGGGGCGAAACACAGGCTAACGAAATGATGGTTCGTGCTCCTATGAGAACAGGTGCACATGTTGGATCCCAAAGCAGCGATGTTCCAGTTGGCCATGGTGTCGGGGAGCAGGAGCAAGTTCATCCAAGCGAAATGATCAATGGATGGAGAAACAACACCACACAGGGAGATGAGAAGGAAGCATCAGAGGACCTATTGAACGATGAGGAGGCCGAGAATGGCGATACGGGCATGCATGATAGCTGGCGTGAAGTCGGAGAATTTGATCTGAACACGAGATGAAATGTCCGTGGAACAGCTTAATAATGGATGAAGCTAAAGAGTAGGGTTGGATGAAGAAAAATGATGAAGAGAAGTGCCTGCATATTTGAGGAACAATATTTGAAAGCCGAATTGGCGGTTGAAGTTGAGGACGTCGGGTTCGTTGGATGTTTTAGTAGACGTCCGTTGGATGTTTTAGTAGGAAGTACGTATGTTGTAGTTGTGTATTGGTTGATAAAATTAGTACAATTTCCAGAAAAAGAACATATGCTTGGCTTGACTGAAAAGCAGTGTGATGTGTAGAAGATTTGAGAAGGAAGAAGAAATTGACGAGAAAGTAATACCTCAACTTGATGGGCGAAATGCAGTATGAACCACATGAATACTCACAATATTGTAATTTATTACGTTGTTTTATTTAACAACAAATATTTGAAACTAAAACAATTATATGAATGTCTGTATTATGCAAATGCCTTTTTTTTTTTTTTTTTAATACCATTTGGCTGCAACCTTAAACCTTACTGATGTTAGAAAAATCATCCATTCTGATTTGGATAGATCATGTGTTGAACTTTTTGAAGAAAAAACACATTTCCCAATAATTAAAATTGTTAAGAGCTTTTTTTTAAAAAAAGTTTTAAAATCCAGGTAAAGATCGTGGTATTTTAAATGTTCCAACTGAACTTGTTATGATCTAAGGTTAAGAAGATTCAACAAGCGTTTATTTTTCATCTACAAAAGTGGAAAGACCCAGTTTAATCTGGGTCTATTTTTCATTTTATGTATTATAAGCCGACTCGATTGAAGAAAAATTATTTGGAGCTTCGGTAAATTGAAGTGGAGGATGAGATTGATATAAATAACATATTGATAATTTCTTTGAAAATTTTATTTATTATTTTAATTTCATAACTTTGGACAAAATGGCGAGAAGTTAATTATCAAAATGGTATAAGACATTTGAAGGGTTGTGGAAAGTAACCTATCGATCACATCACGGTCATAACTCGTTGTAGTGAGCATTTGAACGGTAGGCATTTAAAAGATAGTGGACAACTAGCAATGGACAATTTGAAAGATAGTGGCTTCTTTCACTAGGTTTTCTTTTGTCTATCACTAACTTATGTTAGTAGGTTGTGTGAGTTTCTTTTGTGGAAAAATCATTTTTGTCATTTTTAAATTTTAAGCCATTATTATAATATATTACATATGAATCGTTCAACCAAGCTTGATCAAAGTTCGATGGTAGAGTGACTTAATTTAGAACAAGACTCCAAATCCCAAATCTTGATTCCAAAAAAATAATTCAAAAAATAATTAAACCAATCAAAAGGAACAAACTTTGGGAGCCCTTTTCAAAATGAGATTAAACCAATTAATTAAATAAAATCTTCAAAGAGCAGGTGGCCAACTAGGCATGCCAATCACCTTCCTGTCTTTTCAGTTTGCACTCCATTCAAAAAAAAAAAAAAAAAAAAAAAAAGCATCAAAACAACCTATACTAACTAATAACCAACCAAAAAGTTAGAGAACTTAAAAATGAGGAGAGATATTGAGATCATAACTTGAAAATGAGGCAAGCAAAGAATACACACAAAAATCTGGAATGATCCTACAAAATGTTGGGAAGTTGAGAGTCTAATCTCTGTTGCAATTCCTTGATCTTCAAAGAAAGCTCTGTCTTCTGCTCCTTGTAGCTTTGCAATAGATATTCTTTTCCTTCTATCACTTCCTTTAAGTCCCCTACCTCCTTTTTGAACATCTCAATTCTCTCTTCCTCTCTTACTTTCTCAGCTACCTCAAAGTTGCAATTACCATCCATATAACCATTTGCATGACCGTTCCTCGTCTCGCTCGACCAACTTCTTACTGTTGACGGCGACTTATCGTTGGGGCCTGCCTGTCCCAAACAGTGATCTGCAATTGCTTTTCTGAGCCTCTGAATCTCTTTTTCTGAATCAAACAAGTCTTGGTTTGCAGTATCAATTTGTGACTGTAAATGAGAGGAGTGGGCTACCTGAGCGTTAAGAGAATTTTGCAAGTGAACGATTTGATCTTGCATTTCTAGTAGCATATCATCTCTCCTTTTCAATTGGTGTCTTAGCTTATGAATCACTTCACGTTTGCTGAAGATATCGGAACCGGACTCCGAGACACAAGGTGAATCTGAGCAGTTCGAATGATGGAATTGCTTTGCAGGCAACTCGAGCCGATCAGGAGAAGCTGCCCAGATAACACCATTCTCCTTGTTGAATTCAGAAGCTGGAACCATTACCAAAGGAAGAGCGGTCTCAGATGCAACCACCATTTGATCTGTAGGTGGGCACTTCACATCCGTCGTACATTGAGTCCCTGCAGTGCAGCACCATCATTAGAACATTGATGAAAGAATAAACAAGATCGAGTAAAATAGACCCAAAAACTACCAAATTTATTCAACCAACAGCTTAAAGATCACAAGTGGAACCAGCCAAAAACAGAATCTTCATTTATGGAACCTTAGTCATCAAGGCAATCATTAGATAAATTCAAGGCGGACAATATCATAACAATTTCTTTGTCGTTCAGAGGAGGGCTGCCACTTTTAAACTTCCTACTTCCTGTTTCAATATCGATGGGTGGCTGGCTTCGTAAAAAAATTTAGATACTGATTACTCTCATTTCCTTGAATACATTAATACAATCCATACTTACTAGAAAATTTTCAATCAAGAAGCAAAATTTCCACTGGATAAAGGAGTTTCTTCTAACTGAATATCATCTATCGTATCATCAAAACTTTTCATGCTACAAGTTCTTCTACCTCCCCTGATTTCACATGGGACCACCTTATAACATTTAATCTTACCGCACACACCAATCTCCTATACAATAACCATTGAAACAATTTCTCCCACACAGATCTTATTTCTCTATGGTCGCCTGGTCCCCAACACTCTTTTCCATCTTCTAACATCAATCTGGCTGATAGTATAATTTTAGTATGTGCATTGGTTTTAGAAGATCCCATCCATAAACTGAATTGAGTAACAAATTCCTACCGAATGAAGGGAAAATAAGAGGAAACAAGAAAGAAGAAACGGAGAACCCCCGGAACAAAGGAAGCAACGACTCTATCCAAACCCAAAAACAACCTTCAACCACCACTGACAGCTGTGTCTTCCTATTTCTTTGAAAAGGAAGGAGGTGTGGAGAATAAAAAGCGGAAGTTGTGTGGAACGTTGAAAAGGGGAAGTATTCAAAGAAAAAATGAAGCAAGATGAAATGGCAACACCAAGAACAGCGAATATGGTAAGAACAAAGAAATCCAAGCTGGACTGGTCACCATTTGTGCCGGCAAGGAAGGACCAGTGGCATCTTAATGTAGCTATCTCAGCAAGATGTCCAGATGAAGAAAATGAGGTTGCATTAGTAAATAGAAACTTGGGACGAAGCAAGGAACCACGACAATGGTTAGCATTGTAGTGCTGTCCATGACAACCTTCCCCCAATCTAAAGAGAGGCTATGGCAAGAAGAAAACCCCCTTTCGGATGACTCATGGAGAAGAACCCTCTTCTCTCCAGCATCCTATCCGAAGTTATATGGTGCACTTTTTGAAAAAGTGGTGTAGATTTCAAATCTGAATTTTGGAAACACCTGAAACCTGTTGTCAAAATAAAGCACTTTTAAGTCATCAAACCAGATTCTGTTTTTAAAAAACCGTGCCCACCAAGGACCTAATTTATTTTATTTTCCAATCTGAAAAAACATGATCTAGATCACCTACCAATTTTATGCACTAAAGGTATTAAACTCCCACGGAATAACTCTGCCTCAAACTCCATTTTCATAAAAGAAGAAAACCACGTAAAAAGAAATGACAATGTAAACTTTTGATACTGTTTTTATCCCAAACAAGAAACAGAACCTTTAGATAATGTTGAAAACGTTATTGGAATCAAGAGAAATAAAAATATTCTATGTGCAAAACTAGAAAGAAGTATTCGGTGTTCCATTTAGATCCTCCTAGGCCCCACAAATTTCTCCTTTCCAAAGTTAAATTGACAAAAAAAGGGAGATGTCGAGATCATGTTAACAGCAGAAGATCAAACATATTAGAAGTATCATACTACATGAGAAGGTAAAAAAAGAAAAATGCAAACACAAACAGAAAAATGTAAACAGCTTAGCAGGCTAACTGAACACCGCATTTGCAAAGTTACCAAACTATGTGTTTCCCCTTAAAGATGAAAGATTACATAAACCAACCTGGCATACAGTTGAAGGAACATTCATCATCTCGTGTATATGAATATAAATTTGAGCAAAGACATCCAGCAACCTTTCTTCTGTCAGAAGACTTCACATTTCCTGAGCAGTAAAAAACTCAAAAGTTAATAAGTTTCAACCAGGAATTTTCCTTCAATCTTTCATAAATAACAAGACCTGTCAAAGAACTGCCACTATCCTTCAGCTGCCTCGGCTCAAATGCTTGTTTCAGCTTGTAACCTAGGCGAATTGATAGAGTGCTCAATAGTACACCACCAGCAATTAGAACCCAATGTGGGCCCTCGTTGGAAGAAACTCTGGACTTCTGATCTCTAGGACCTCTACTTGTTCTGGGTGTCATTTTAGGATCTAGAAGCGTGGAAGATGTTCCTAAATCATTCAAGCTCTACAATGAGATACATAAGAAAAATATTAAAAAATAATTTGATTTCCATCAGGGTTGATCACGGAAAATTGAATTTTGTTGCTTAGTAAACATAATAATAATAATAACAAAATAAAAACCACGATTTTGAATTCTATTCACATTCATACACGAAGGGTAATATTCTATGAATTCAAAGAAAGGATATGAAGACAGTATATCTAATTATAACGAAAAGGTAGAATATTGAGATTGGTGGAAATATAAAGATTAATAAATGTTGATGGAAATGTAGATGTTGACATGAAGAGAAATATCACCAGGTCGAAGAAGTGTTTGAATTAATTCAAGAAACTTCAATAGTATCTAAAATTTAATCTTACTTCATCCTTCTTAGAAGAAACTTCCCCTGATCTCTATAATATTTCTAAGAAGGAAGCTACGGTGGCTGATTGCTGGAATAGGGACAACAATAATTGGGGCCTTGGTCTTAGAGGGGCATCATCTTGGATAGAGTTGGATAGCTGGTTGGGATTGGTATTAAAAGTCAATACTGTGAGGTTGGGAGATGGGATGGATAGGGCTGTTTTTGCCCTAGATTCATCAGCAATTTTCTCCTCTAAATGAGGAAAATCTTAATCACCCCTCCCCCTCAGTGTTTGTATGTGCTTCAAGAATGAGGAAAATCTTAATCACCTCTTCCTCCACCCCTTGGCAATAAGGAACCGGAATTTTCTAGTAAATGAATCTGGTCTTCCTACTTGCTTGTCGTTCTTCGAGCTGGATTGAATTAATGAGGTGCTTGAAGAGTGGAACATAAAAGGTAAAGCTAGAATCTGTTGAAGAGGTGCCTCTCGAGCCTTGCTGTGGGAATTATGGAAAGAAAAAAATATAAGAACTTTTGAAGATTAGTCTAATACTTCTGATAGTTTCTGTAATTACAACTTCTTCTTTATGGTGCATTGAATTCTTTTGCAACTATAGCCTAACTTCAATTGTTCTTGGGGAGGGGGCCCTTTCATTCCCTACATGTAGGCTGTTTTTGTTTAATATTAAGCATCTAATTTCTTAAAAGGAAAAACGAACTCAAATGAACTACAACTCTTCATTTTTAAGATTTATATCGATATACATGAGCAATATATGCAAACCTAGAAACATTACTAAGAAATTTAGTAACTATCCTCAAAGGAAGCCCATTTCTTGATCACTTGATCGTTTCCTTCCAACAACTCCTTCCGCATTGGACATTTCTTATTTTCCTACGTAGCCAATTTGTATTCTTTCATTTGTCTTGATTTTTCTTTAATAAGAAACAATTTCATTGACGTATGAAATCACAAAGGTTTGGGGGAAAAGAAGCCCCAATCCAAAAGAGTTACAATAAAATTCTCTAATCAGAAGAAAAAAATGTAGCAAAACTATGAGAATGGAAATGAGGTGACAAATTTCATTTGTCTTAGTGAAGGCTTGATTTTTCATCAAATAATAATAATGATAACCATAATAATTGTACAACGATTTAATGAATTTTTGTTGGTTCTAGTCCAGAGAAATATAGACAACCCTGCAGGAGTATAAACAACATTAAACATCAATATATGAATAGAAAAAATACAGAAACGCTCAACTGGTTTGCTATTACTTAAAAGAAAGAGGCATAAAAATCAAAACTAAAATAACTTTATAAAATAGAGACAGTTTATACGTGCTTGAGAGAGGGATGGAGATGAGAAATGAAATTAAAAAAACTTCGGAATACAGAAAGATTGAAAGAGAGATGGAGAAAGAGTGTAAAAATAGATAGAAAGGCTCTCTACGGATGAAGAAATTGAGGTTCCCTATTAGCTTCTCTTACCTTACCCTCCTCAAAACAAGTAGATAAATGGTTTTGGCCCCATTGTTTCATCCAGCATATTCTCAGTCAAACCTCTTTAAAGAGACTTCAGGGAGAAGCCAACACATAGAAATTCTCAACATTTTAGAAACATTTCCACCGCTAGAGTTAATAACCAAAAAAATGGTCAAGTTTTTCTCATGGGAGACGAGCAACAAGAGCATCAATAAGCATGATTTGATTCAAGGACAATGGCCATAAGTTTTCCTTTTACCAACTGCTGCAAGTCTTTTCCACTTACAGCTTTCAAGTGGCATATTTCTTTGCCAAACAGCCTAAACAAACTTCTCTTACCCTCAGTTTTGAGCAGGCATCCATTTAAAAGAAGGCGAAATTCTATGGCTACGGATAAACAGAACACTTCTATGGAACCTTTAGCTTGAAATAAATATGAGAACTTTCAAGTTTCAACAAGAAGGGAAGTCTAAGTATGCTTTACCCTTATGCTTTTATTTTTTGTTGTCATTGCCAAGAGAGTACTGACGGGCAGTTTGAGATTTTACTAGGGGCTGGGAGTGATGATAGAGTGAAGGAAAGTTCCATTTCCACATGGGTACCCCCTCTCAGTGGGACAGAGATCATGTCTCATTTAAAGTTCTGACAATAGACAAGAACTCAACTGCTCGCTAAATCTAAGAAAAACCACCCATTTGTAAATTAAAGATAAACAAACACATGGGAGCGAATACACAAAGTACCCAAGGCCAGAAAAAAGAATAAATAAAAACTCTAATACTATAGCACAACACCATTCCCACGGCATGGCCACAGATATACACCAAGAGTTAAACAACTAGAACTATGCAACATCATTAGCTCATCCAACCAGAATTCTCAGTCACTATCTAGAAACATTGGTTAGGCACACAAAATAATTCATGCAGATTGTATGATAAAACATCCACAATGAAGCAAGAGATGTTTTCAAGTATGACAATCATGCTAATTTCAGGGTATGATGTAGCAAACTCTTCACGAAAATAGCATTAGATACCTGTACCTTCTAAACCACTCGTATATTCTTCAGGTATGATTTTATTTCACGCATATAACAACTGCAGGAATCTATAATGTGCACAAATGATGTTATTTGGAAGTCATTCATATTAGCATCATCAAAGGTGACATTCGATCAGATTCCATGTTAGCTAGAATCAAAGTTCGTGATGCATTCAGACACGTCTGTTTTTATAGATTTTCACCGTCATCAGTAAGCAGTATAAACACCAGATGTCACAGTTCGCATTGATCAGCACATCACGTTTCCGTCAGATACACAGAGATCTAATTATAGGAACAGTTCAGTATTTTAAGCGATAAAAGCTAGATTCAAGGTGTTCCACAAGAACATCGAAAATTCAATCGTTTAACACCGGAACAGTCCCCAAAAACTCCACAAGCCAAATGAAATCATCAGAAAACGAAGGAAATGCGCTCCAGACTAATCAAAATCAAAACGCGACACATTTTGTAGAAAAAAACATCAAACCAAAGAATAAACTCATACACAATCGAAAAACGGAAAATAGAAAAGAACAGGCAGAAACAACAAAAATCGAAAGAAAAGAATCAGAGAGAGAAACATAGCGAGAAAGAAACCTGAGTGATTCAATCAATGGATGGTTAAGATTACTGATTCAGAATCTCCATCTCCGACGAAGTCCATCAGTGGTAAACCATGAAACCAGAAACCCAGACAGAGAGAAGAGAGGAAGGAGCTAAGAGCTGTTAGTGAATTCCCCAATTTATTACAGAACACAAAAATAAAAATTATTATTTAAAAATAATATTATATTTTATGTAAAGATCCACGTCAGCAATTCCGAGCGCTTCCCCCAATCCTCCTTCGCGAATTTTCCGATCCTTCTTTTGGTCAAATTTATCAATTTTTTTTAATTAAAAAAAAAAGCTTAAAATTACTTAATTTTCTAAAAATAATTGCAAATATTTTAATTTTTAGTACCACAACTAATTTTTTTGTTAATAGAATGAATATATTTTAAATCTTTATCTTAAAAAAAAAAAATATATATATATATACACATATGGGGACATTCGATAAAATTGGAACGATACAGAGAAGATTAGCATGGCCCTTGTGCAAGGATGACCCACACAAATCGAAAAATGGTATCAGAGCCAAACATCAAACGATGTGCCAGCCTTCTCGCTGTTCCCCAAAGGGGGTAGACACGAGGCGATGTGCCAGTAAAGATGCTGGCCCCAAAGGGGGAAGATTTGGGGGCGGTCCCACATCGATTGGAGGAAGGAAAGAGTGTGAGCGAGGACGCTAGGCCCCGAAGGGAGGTGGATTGTGATGTCTCACATTGGTTGAGGAGGAGAACAAACCACTGTTTATAAGGGTGTAGAAACCTTCCTAGCACATGCGTTTTAAAGCCTGGAGGAGGGGAAGTCCGAAAGGAAAAGCCTAAAGAGGACAATATCTGCTATAGCGGTGGAGCTGAGGCTTTACTATGTATATATATCAAAAATTTGGAATGATCTAGTTTCTCATATATAATTTTTTTTTCATTTTTAATATATAGTTTTTTTTTTTATATTATTTATTTAGGAATAATTTTCATTTTGTTAATATAATTTCTAAAAATAAATAAATAAAAAAAAAACAACCTAATAAATTTAATAATATTTCATAAGTAAAAATAAAATAAAATATAATTTAAATATTACCAACGTTATTTTCTACCCTTAAAAACAATATATATATAAAAGTGTGGTGAGTGGAGCATGAGAGAGATTTGGCGGGGTCGGACTCATTTAGATATAATTCTCCATATAAATAAAGTTTTTTCATTTAATACACATTAGTATTTTTTTAAAAGAATATACATCATTATTTATTACAATTAATTAATGTGGAGGTCAAATTGTAATATGATTGTAGTTATAAAACATATTATATTATATTTTAAATATTTTATTAATGGAGTTATCCTAAATAATAATATTTTAGTCTATGTAATGGTGTAGTTTTAAAAAAATTAAATTAATAAATATATTTTTGAATTTTGTAATTTAAACTTGAAAAAAAAATCTCAAAAATATCATTACCGTTAGTTAGGGATGAAACCACGAGTATTTCAAAAACATCTTGAACTTTTAACGGTGTTTCAAAAATATTTTTAAATTTTTAAATTTTTTATTAATAATATCTTGAAACTTTTAAAAAAAATTAAAAATATTTTTATTAATAAGTATCATTGTTATAACACCCTTAATTTTATAAAAGTGCGCTCACGTTATTGTTTATGATTCTTTCGGTCGATTTTTAGTAACGTAAGAGTGCAATTTAATCATGCTTAGAAAGTACGTTAATGATCCATGCAACGAAAGATCTTTAGAAAATTTGTACATTTATTCATGTTTTTCATTTCTTATGTTAATTTTTGCATGATTTTGTTAGAGACTTCGGAGCTTTAAAAGAATTTTTCATTTAAATGTCATATCATATATGTATGTTATATCTACCTGATATTATTCGTTTCTATATAAATTTTTAAAATATACTTACACTAAATTATTAAAATTATTTAAATAATTTCAATAAAAATTAAGGTTTAAATGAAATAAAATGATATTTTAAAAGTAATTGTTAAGGATTACTAAACTACGTTCGATATTTTATTATAAAACAAATATCTAGATATTTGAATTCTTACTATACGTATCTTTCCATTTATTGTTATTGTCTCTGTATCCTTCTGTATAAATTTTATCATTCGTTTGATTTCTTACTAAGTATCTGATAGTATGTTATATCTACATTACATTATTATATTATTCGTTTCTGTATAAATTTTTAAAATATCCATTTATTGTTATGGAATCTGTATCTCATGAAGTAAATTAATGTATCTGAAGATCTTGTTGGTTGCAAGACATGTAAAAATTTGCATGTCAAAACTATTGTCTAACTACTTTCTATGAAAAATCATTAAAAATAATAATGTTATTTTTAAATATTGTTATGCACTTGGATGTTCAAAAATTCTTTTCAAACATAATAATAACATTATAAAAATAAAATATTTTAAAACTGAAACGGAACGTACCATTAAAAAGAAAGTGTTAGTTGTCGGTAGACGCAACTGGAATTCTCGTCCACTAGACAAGGACACACTCCCCGCTCCTCACAGTGCGCCCCACGACCCTCCAAAGGAAGTAGTCTGTTGGATAAAAGTCTCACATCCGCTAATTTAGGGAATGATCATGGGTTTATAATTAGAGAATACTCTCTCCATTGTCATGAGGCCTTTTGGGGAATCCCAAATAAAAGCCACGAGAGCTTATGCACAAAGTGGACAATATCATACCATTGTGGAGCGTCGTGTGTTCATTTAACATGGTAGTCATGCCTCTAAACTTAGCCATGCCAATAGAATCCTCAAATATCGAACAAAAGTACTGTGAGCCTAGAAGGCATAGTAAAACATGACTAAGACTCCAAAAGAAAAAGAGTCGAGCCTTGATTAAGGGGAGACGTACTTTGTTCAAGGGGAGTTGTACTATCTCTAACATAGCCTTCATTCATACACCCCTCGAGCACCTGCAACAGAGAACGAAAGAGAAAAAGCATAGAACCACACACCTCAACGCTTGAAACAACCAACTCACATTGCAAAACAAGTCTCTGATGAGTCGACCACCTATGGTTGGTACGTTTGCTCTCGATAAGAAGAGATGAAGTTTGATTTTTAGAAATCACGTAGATCTACTATTTTAGGCATCGACAAGCCACGGGACTTTGTGGAAGAGGATCAGAGGGTCCAACATAGAGTTAGAGGAGGAAAACAATGAGGAAGAACGTCGGAAATAGCCGCGGGAAGAAGAGAAAAAAAAAATAAAAAAATCGCGCAGAGTCAGGCGAAGAAGTCAAATCCGACAGATCCGGATTCGGGTCGGACTCAACCCGTAACCCACTGCCCATCCATTAGTTTCGGCCCAATGTCGCACTACCAGCCCAGACCACTAACCTGAAGCCCAAACCAAGCTCTCGGCCCAATCCACTCGCAACACCTGTATACCCGTTATGCCGGACCCAAACCCGCAGTTCAACCCAAGAGATAAGCTGCAACGTGTCTCGCTCTCATTATGCCACGTTTCTCCCTGCAGCAAAAAGAATCCCTCGGCTTCACGGCTCGGCTCCGTGTAGTCCTTTGGCTTAAAAACGGTTTAGACAGCTTGATTTAGCAATTTGGACACTGACCCCTACGTTTTTTACCCTGATTTTGATCCTTATTGAGGTCATTGTAATGTCTTATTTCACAATTTTAAGTTGAATTTTGTTACAATGGTGAAATACTAACGAAAGGCGATGAACCACCTAATACGAAACGAACTCCAACGATACTTGGAACAACTTTCGAGGAACGGGAGCTAACGTATATTAATTTAGGAAGAACGCCAGCTAAGGCCAACCAAGTAAGTGACTTTACTATAGAGTAGACTAGGTACTTGCTTGATGTATAACGACATGTGTCCTTTATACTTTATAACTACGACGTATAACATATGATCTATGATGTATGATGACATGTATGAGTTATATGATGATGTATGATGACGTTTGATGATGTGTTATGATTATGATGTATTTCGATAGCGTTATGATGACGATGCATGTTGTTTTTTCCTTAATATGACGATATGTTCCATATTAAGATGAGAGGTATGTTGTGAATGCCATATTGCATTATGTCGATAACTCGACCTAAGACACAACCCTACAAATATTATTGATGATGTTAAGATGAAAGCTAACGCACATATATTACTAATAATAATATAAGGTTGAAATTAGGTTGTGTCATAAAGACATTTTAAAGACGAGAAACTATAGGGACCTCATGCATTTCTGTATGTACATTGGGGATACTTCCCCTTTTATGATGAAGAGTACAGACGTGTACGCTATGATGATGATGGTGATCATGATGAGCATGACAGGAGGTTTGCTAACCTCCAGGCGTAACTACGGATAGCTAGCTTGACTATGATGGGTCCAAGGGGGTGCGAACCGCCTGGGGATTCCCAATCGCATGTGTGGGTCGTGTGTAGGGAGTACTACACATCTAATTTAGTCCGGATTAGAGGTCGCCCCTAAGATGTTTTAATGATAGGTCCCTAGAGCATTATTGCATGTGTTTACATCTTTTTCATGGCCCTTATAGTGGGGTCACTTATTGAGTATTCTTCGAAATACCTCGTGTGCTACACCATTTTCAGGTAAAGACAACACTCATGTACGGTTGACGGTGGCATAGCAAAGTAAAGACCATGGCACGTGCATAGTCAAAGAAGCATATTTCATTTCCTAGGCTTAGATTAGAATAGGTTGTTATGTATTTCACGTTTTTTAATTTATTTTATTATCATTTTAAATTTCATTTCTGAATTATGTTTTGAACATGTAAGACCATGACAGTGTTTTCAATAATAAAATATGTTTATTCCGAAAGTTATTATTTATATATTGATGTTTTTTCAAGAGTTATATTCGGCACATGAGCTTAGACTAAGATGATAGTAGTGACTTTAGGTAGCTAAAAGCTAGGGTCGTTACAAACCTAACATCTCTTAGCAAAGTTTAGAAATACAATGTTGTTGACATATCGACACAAAAATGTACAATATTTTATTTATTTATTTATTTTTGCAAGCCATTTAAAACAACAAATCATTAAAAATACAAATGCACCTCGATCAGCTCTATAACCATAGTACGACCCTTCTCTATAACCATATTACACCCAAAAGCTCCCCAACTCGATCAGCTGACGAGCTATCACTTGAAAAAGAAAATAATAACGGGCGAATATAAAAAAAGTGTTGACTCATATGATCTTAATAACATCCATGACCTAGTTAGTTACCATGAACTTAGTTCTCGGCTCAAGAAAATTCAAGCCTGAATTCTACCACTTATTTAATTTTATGTAACTTTAAAAATTCGATCTAACAGTCTTGTTAAAAAATAAGGTCTTTAGATCTAAATTATCCTAGAACCCGAAAAACGATAAGGAATCAACTCAAGAAAAAGTTTTGGAATGGATTACTTTAATGATCAAGATCATATATGCTTTCAAATGGTTACACATTAGATATCATGTCAATTTCCATCTTATTTTATAAACGGGAGTATAGATATGATAGGAGCGTGGAAAGTCGTATAATATTTATGAAACCGTGTGTTATGGCTCGAATCAGAATAGAATTAGCTCATCGAGCTCGTATCGATAAAAGAAAAAAAAGTTTTGGAAAAAGACAATGGCAATAATTTAGGAAGATGGTAGTGGAGATGAGAAGAGAAAGGAGAGAGGTTTTGAAGTACATGTGGGGAAAGTATGAGTCGTCACAAACTAACCACAAAAGGATATGGACATGAGACACAACCTTTCACTTCATATCATCTTCATATCAACTTTTTCTATGAATACTTCACATCTCACACAAGTCTTTAAATAGAAAAAATATATATTAACGTTACGAGTTTATCATCCAAAGGTCGACATATTTGGAATAGTTACGAGATGTGCTTAGGAATTTTTTTTATAGGTTTTTATGAACTTGGATACTCCTTTGACGGTGGTGGATTTTTCATGGTCGTGTAGAAAAATATGTTACTAACGAAGATACTCATGTTTTAAGTAGTGTTAATAAAGAATCAGTAAAGATTTCTAGATATACATGTTACTCAAAAGAATCGACAAATAGAGAATGTTGTAAGGTTGTTACAAGAAATAAAAAATTATATATATATTATTCTTTCGTTAGATTTAATTATAAATAAACCCGATCATATTTCTTATTTTTAAATCATTTAATATCGGATCAAAAAATATTTTCGAGATAAAGAATAAACAAATCGAATGAAGGATCAAACTTAGTCTGGTTAGCCAATTTATTAGTGAAGAGGAAAAACCATTATCTTCAAGGGTAAATTAAATAGATTGGCCTAAGAAGCAAGACATCAATCATGTAGTATAAAATTTAAGGAAGACGTGAAGAAAATGTTGTTCAAATTATCTCAAGATGTTAAAATTCATGTCACATTAAAAAAAATGACGAAACTTCAATTACTCTTGGATGATTACAAGTTTTGGGTGGATGATAATATGAAGTCACTTCTTTAATGTATTTTAAGACTTTTATTTATTTAAGGTTACATTTACCTAATGATTAATTATGCTCATAAAATATGAAAGTTAACGACTCTTGATGTCTAATAGAACTATATAAAGTCAACGTATGTTATATTTATAAATGAAATTTGAAAAACGTAATAAAAAGAGCCTTTAGGCTTTAGCTTTAAATAATTTAGATTGCATGTTTAGAATCATTTAAACTTAACGTAATCAATATCAGTATTCTTGCGTTGTTTCTTTGCAATTCTATATATATTTTAGATTGCATTTTGAGAATCATTCCAAGTAAATCAAGATTGATCTTACTTATGGAGTTATTCAAATCTGAAATAAGTATAATTGCATTAAGATAATCAATCAACAAAGTAATCCAAATCACACTTCGTTTAGAGTGATTTCTTACCCGTTGCTATCAAAACTTTCCTTCCAACTAATTCTTTATCATTTATTATCAAACTTTCCCTTAAATTGATTTCTTATCCATTATTCTTAAATCAAAGAATAAATAGAATTGAATTAAAATTTCAATCCAATTTCTAAAAAAAAAGAGAGAAAAAAAAAAAAAGCTTGAGTTTGATTAAAAAAGGAAGAAGAATATTGAAGTAGAAACCTGCCAGATGATAATTAATCAGATCCCTATAATTCAATAATTTTCCCTATTGTAAACGCAATATATCAAGAACAAAGAAACATAAATAGCTTCTCAACCAATAAATTTTGGGAATTGCTATTACCAGCTACAAGTTTTTTGTTATACAATATTACAGCAACGACATTCATGAATTTCTTATACAAAAGAGCATAATAAATACGTATATCTTAAGGGAATGTGTAGGGAATACAACACTATCAAAGTCTGATCATCACCTGAATTAGGCACACATAATAATACAACTACAGATACCCATACTATCTCATATTCCATATTAGAATCTACACTTCAATCAACCAAACAAGTATAAAGAATATGAAGCAAATATCCAAAGAATTTCAATTCCACAATTGAACTTTTTTAGAACTTACTTTCTATTCTGCAGATTTCTTCACGGCCTCCTTCTGATATTCCTCCATTTCTTTAAGCCAGAGATCTGCAAATTCGCAATTCTTCCAAGCTTCAAACCATGGTCCACCACGAGTGTAATGAATTGCTTTAGGGAGAGTGGTTAAATCACCCTCTACACTCTTGTTATGGCCCTCAAGAAAGTTCCAAACAAATGGGACTGACCCAATTTCATCGTCCTCAAGCCATTGGAATCTATGAAGAAATGCACCAGTTTGAGTGTTGACAGTCTCAGGTGTCAACAATTTGTTCTTTGGATGCCCACAGTTGTACAAAACCATTGAAGACCAGTTCTTCCTTGGGTATACAGTTTGTACTGCACCATCCATTTTTGTTGTTTCTTTTGGCGTGTAATCATGGTGGACACACATAACTGCAAACTTATTGTCAATCAAGTCTCTTAGTTCCTTAATGTCAGCTAGATACAGAAAATCACAATCAACAAACATTGCCCATCCTTCGTAATTCGCCAAATATGGAGTTAAGAACCGGGAAAATGAGAACTCTGTGCTTTCAAGTTGTCCTCTCTCACGCCAATAGACGCCATTCGTTCTTAGATCTGCCTGCTTGATTGGTATGATTTCAACGGGAATTGAAGATCGCTTCAGGATGGAATGGCGACAGACCTCATATGCAAGATCTTCACGAACATCATAGCCCACAAAGATCTTAAATGGTTGCTCCACCTCTCCAACAGCAGGAAGATTCTCTTCATTACAAGAACCCATTGGAAGCAGGTGGATTGGGCACTAAGTTTTCAGATTCAATACAATGCAAAGCTGAAGTCGTATAAAATCAACTAAATTTCAGCGGCCGGAGGATCAAGGATATCGAAATTCGACAGTAAACTAAAACTATTTCTTTCAATCGCCAACATTAAACTCAAATTTTCATTCCAGGAAATCAAACTATTAATATCAATTTGGATTAAACAACACTGCAAGATTCTAACACAGGATTCACGCTCCAACATCATTCTCCTTGCAAGAAAATCTCAAATCTCAAATATCATAGGTTATATACATTCTCAACACAAAAGGAAAAACAAAACAAAATCCACCAGAGAAGCGATTATCTTCAAGATTGCAAAACAAAAGAAACCGAGAGATTCAATACACTGCAAAGCTGAAATCGTATTAAACCAACCAAATTTCAGCGGATATCGAAATTCGACAGTAAACTAAAACTATTTCTTTCAATCACCATCACTAGACCCAAACGTTCATTCCAGGAAACCAAACTATCAATATCCATTCTGATTGAACGACACTGCAAGATTCACGCTCCAACATCATTCTCCTTAAAAGAAAATCTCAAATACAATAGGTCATATACATTCTCAACACAAAAGAAAAAACAAAACAAAATCCGCCAGAGAAGCGGTAATCTTCAAGACAGCAAAACAAAAGAAACCGAGTGATTCAATTCGAGCAATGAAAAACAAACAATTGAATCAAGAGAATCAGAGATATATAATAAGCAAGAAGGATCCAAATGGCCAAGTATATTCGGGAAACCGAAGATAACAAATCAAACACAAAGAAGTGAAAAATGCATCAGATCTAATAGTATTGCGGACAGAAAAGAGAAAAATGTAGGGATCAAAAGATGGAGAGAAGCGTTACCAAGAAGGAGGCGAATGCAGATCTTGAAGAGAGGAAGAAAACAGTCAAATCGAATGGGCGTTTGTTCTGATATTTGTAGATTCGAGGAGGAAATCTTGGGCGAAGAAATGTAGAGAGCGTTCTAAATTGTCTGCAAGAGAGAAGAATGAGCAGGTACACTCCTTGCAATGGAAGACGGGGATTCCGGGGGAGATGATATAGGGGTCCAGCAAGGAGCACGTGTTAACTATATTCTTTTTTTTCCAAAATTTAATTTATTATTATTATTAATTTTTTTTTTTTTTTTTTGCAAAAGATATTCGTTTTAAAGAATTTTTAAGAAATAATTTGTAACCACCAAAATTTTCTACCTAATTTAAGGTGGCCACTGTACGTACCATAAACATTGAATGTAGATACTTTATTAAAATTCCATAAAACATAACTGTGAATGTTTGCTGAATCACCACACCTAAATGGGGGAGAGTTCTCTTATTTATAATCATTTTCAGGATACAGAAATATGGTAAATTACAAATATTATGGAAATAGTAATAAAAGGAAAGAATAATAAATGAATGCAATATATTTGCCTTTAATAAGAGGGCAAATATGGTAACCCGTAATGTAAGGCAAATATCTATAGTGAACGGTTAACTATCCTTAACACCCCCCGCAAGCTGAGCGTCGGATTTGAACGAACGTAAAGCTTGGATCTGAAAAATTCAAAGAGAGGTCGAGAAATACTCTTTGTGAAGATGTCAGCAACTTGGAGATGAGAGGGTACATATTGTGTGCGAAGTTTGCCAGCGATAACAAGTTCTCGAAGAAAATGATAATCTAGTTCAACATGTTTGGCCCGCTTGTGAGAAACGGGATTAGAGCTAAAAAAAATAGCACTTTTGTTGTCACATAAGAGTAAGGGCTGCTTTGAAATAGGGACCTTGAGGTCATGCAAAAGATGCGTAACCCAAAGAAGTTCAGCAGCGGTTGTGGCAAGAGCACGATACTCAGATTCACAGCTGGAGCGTGAGACAGTAGGTTGCTTTTTGGCACTCCAAGAAACCAGATTGTTACCAAGATAAATAGAATAGCCGGATGTAGAACGACGAGTATCGGGACAACCAGCCCAGTCAGCATCCGAATAAGCGACTAGCGTACTAGGAACAGTGGATGGATGAAAGGTAAGACCAAAGTGGAGTGTTCCTTTGACATAGCGAAGAATACGTTTGACAACAAGAAAGTGATCTGCAGTAGGGGCATGCAAGAATTGACTGACAGAATTGACAGCATAGGCAATATCTGGACGCGTAATAGTCAAGTACTGAAGGGCGCCAACAAGAGATTTGTAGAGAGTAGGATCAGAGAAAGGAGAACCATCAACAGTCAGGTGTTGAGAAACAACCATGGGAGTGTGAACTGGTTTGCTATCGAGCAACGGAGCACGAGTAAGAATATCTCGAGCATATTTTAACTGACTAATAAAGAGACCATCAGGAGTGGGTGAA